TATCAATGAGATAAGGGGACAAAATCTCTCTTTCGTGAGAGTATAGTAATTTCTAATTTTATCGTTTTTCGGTGACAAAAGAGACAGCATCTTTAATTTGTCGAGTTAAGAGAGGAGCTAAACACGCAATTTTGCCTGGAGCTCAGCGCAGAGAGGGATGATGACGAGAACTTGAGATGAAAAGGACAAGCCCTCAGCACGGCGCGGTGGTCGACATGCAACACATATTAGCGCCTACAAGACTACATGAATACTTCACCCATTGCGTCAAACGCAGTGCGGTCACTGCGGTCAGGAGCTGTTGGCGGCGAGAAACGCGTAGCGCCTACAAGACTGCAGGAATACTTCACGCATTGCGCCAAACACAGTGCGATCAGCCCGGCGTAGCGGCGGACGTTAAAAGTATTAAACCACATTTTTATGCTAGTTCTTTCAATTTTTTGGTTGATTTCTTATAATTGGAGGACCTTGTTCACACAGAGATATGTTTACGGAACTTGACTCTCGCGCAAAGTTCCGTGAACTTTTGTTAGTAGTGTTGACAGGGCTTTCGCAAAAAATGTATTCAACACGAGTAGGTAAACGCGTCTTATGCACCCCTCTCCCTCCGGCACGTTCATTTGATGGTTTTCATTGATGTTTCAAAACGAATGAGAAGGGGGCGGCAAAATACAGGCGGCCCATGGACGGCAAGTAGGTAAATCCGGCCCTGCGACCTGTCGTGATCATCGCCGTGCGACTCCGGGAAGCATGGAATTTCTTCTCTGAAAATCGTCGATTTTAGAGTATTTTGTTTCGTTTTTTGAAAAGGGGGTGGGGAGTTCTTAAACAGCGCCCGTGCAAATCCACTTTCCGGAAACTGCCATTCGCCTTGGAATCCATGGTAAATAATTGAATCGATATTTGGATTGCATTTTGCAAAAAGGAACCACTAGCATTGCAATGTTGCTAAGATTGTGCAGCTTATTTTGTCTTGGAGGAAAAACCCGATTATCCATTAATAGTTTCAATTTTACTCGCTAAAAACTGTAAATTTAAGACGGAAATTACCGTATAAATTTCATAGTTTTTCACAATTTCCGCAATTTTATTGCAAAAGATGAAGTTGCACAATCTTAGCATCATTGCAATGCTAGTGGTTCCTTTTTGCAAAATGCAGTCCATTTGTCGATTGGTTTACATACGTATAAAGGAGCAGAGCCCTGTATTATCGCTAGTGTACACTTGGTTCCTTATAACAGAGGCGTGGCTTGCTTTGCGATCTTTCAATATTTCCCCATTTGAAGCTGTGGTAAATAATCGATCATTAAGGTGTTCGCTGCAGACACCCTGTTTATCGATACTTTTCCATAGGTTTAAATGGCCGATCAATCGATATATCGTTACGCACGCCACGCCACTGCCTTATAAATATATTGTAACCAATCCATTCTAAATGAGGCAGCTCACGTCGATTATAACGTCACCTTCCAGGCAAAGTATCACAAGCGCCATGCGACGTTTGAAAATTTCCGCCGCCATTTTATTTTTTTACAAAGAAATTGTTCAACGAAGCTGTCCGAAAATTTCACTGAATTTTCTTTGTGCTGCCGATAAAATTCAGTGAAATTTCCAAACAGATTCAACCAACAATTTCTGAGTAAAAAAATAAAATGGCGGCGGAAATTTTTAAACGTCGCATTGCGCTTGTGATACTTTGCCTGGAAGGTGACGATATTTCGATTGTCTCACGTACCTAGGTGTAAACGAGTGCGGCTCGGTATCGGGAGCTTTACAAGAATCGTCCGAGTGGAGGGCTCCGCGTGTCATTAATTACAGGCGTCGGCCGCGATCAGCAGATCAAAGCGTCCCTTTAATTAAAGACGAGGCTCTTTCCGTAAGGCCCCGGCCCCCGAGTCGGAGTCGCACGGACGGGGACGGTCGGCCCGATTTCGAGGGCCGGCCAAGCGTGCGCTGCGGGTCCTTCAACTTTCCTTCCCATCGCGCTCACCGACTCGGCTCCCCGATCTCACCGCCGAAACTCCCAACCGACAACCAATAGTACCGCGTCACCTCCCGGCCAAAGTATCAAAATCGCCATGCGACGTTTCTACATTTCCGCCGCAATTTTATGTTTTACAGAAAATTTTTTGGTTGAATCTGTTTGAAAGTTTTACTGAATTTTCTTCGTGCTATCGATAAAATTCAGTAAAATTTTCAAACAGATTCAACCAACAGTTTCTCCGTAAATCGCCTCGCAGGATGACGATACTTCCTCTACCGTAAGGTAGCGAAAAAGTAAAAAGCATTTGAAATGAACACTGGTAAAAAAAACCTCTTGGTTCAAGAGTGCAGTTTCTTGTCGCCAGATGTAAGAGTCTGGACTCTTGTTTCAATGCAAAATCCGCTTGAATCAATGCAAAATCCGCTTGAAACAAGAGTTTAAGACTCTTAAATCCGGCGACAAGAAACTGTACTCATAAGTCAATGCACCGCGGCATTGGTCCAAGAGGTTTTTTTTTACCAGTGAATCATTTCTGAAGTTTCCAAAAACGCCGGCCTCAGGGACGACCTCATTCAAAACAAATGCAGTATCCCCGATATCGTCACCTTCCAGGCAAAGTATCACAAGCGCCATGCGACGTTTAAAAATTTCCGCCGCCATTATATTTCTTTACTGAGAAATTGTTGGTTGAATCTGTTTGGAAATTTCACTAAATTTTATCGGCAGCACAAAGAAAATTCAGTGAAATTTTCGGACAGCTTCGTTGAACAATTTCTCTGTAAAAAAAATAAAATGGCGGCGGAAATTTTTAAACGTCGCATGGCGCTTGTGATACTTTGCCTGGAAGGTGACGATATTTCGATTGTCTCACGTAGGTTCGAATGAGAGCGGCTCAGTATCGGGAGCTTTACAGGAATCGTCCGAGTGGAGGGCTCCGCGTGTCATTAATTACAGGCGTCGGCCGCGATCAGCAGATCAAAGCGTCCCTTTAATTAAAGACGAGGCTCTTTCCGTAAGGCCCCGAGTCGGAGTCGGAGTCGCACGGACGGGGACGGTCGGCCCGATTTCGAGGGCCGGCCAAGCGTGCGCTGCGGGTCCTTCAACTTTCCTTCCCATCGCGCTCACCGACTCGGCTCCCCGATCTCACCGCCGAAACTCCCAACCGACAACCAATAGTACCGCGTCACCTCCCGGCCAAAGTATCAAAATCGCCATGCGACGTTTCTACATTTCCGCCGCAATTTTATGTTTTACAGAGAAATTTTTGGTTGAATCTGTTTGAAAGTTTTACTGAATTTTCTTCGTGCTATCGATAAAATTCAGTAAAATTTTCAAACAGATTCAACCAACAATTTCTCCGTAAATCCCCTCGCAGGATGACGATACTTCCTCTACCCTAAGGTAGCGAAAAAGTAAAAAGCATTTGAAATGAACACTGGTAAAAAAAACCTCTTGGTTCAATAGTGCAGTTTCTTGTCGCCAGATTTAAGAGTCTGGACTCTTGTTTCAATGCAAAATCCGCTTGAAACAAGAGTTTAAGACTCTTAAATCCGGCGACAAGAAACTTTACTCATAAGTCAATGCACCGCGGCATTGGTCCAAGAGGTTTTTTTTTTACCATTGAATCATTTCTGAAGTTTCCAAAAACGACCTCAGGGACGACCTCATTCAAAACAAATGCAGTATCCCCGATATCGTCACCTTCCAGGCACAGTATCACAAGCGCCATGCGACGTTTAAAAATTTCCGCCGCCATTTTATTTCTTTACTGAGAAATTGTTGGTTGAATCTGTTTGGAAATTTCACTAAATTTTATCGGCAGCACAAAGAAAATTCAGTGAAATTTTCGGACAGCTTCGTTGAACAATTTCTCTGTAAAAAAATAAAATGGCGGCGGAAATTTTTAAACGTCGCATGGCGCTTGTGATACTTTGCCTGGAAGGTGACGATATCTGGGCAAACTTCATCTTACTTTTTCTCGTTTTCGCGACACTATTGAACCGAAAAAATTGCGTAAAAGATACCGTGGAGGTGTGAAAAATTACAAAGTGACAACAAAACAAGACTCTCAAATTGAGCCCACCTTGATACCACTTTTCGCGCCTTGTGGATAAGTGCTTGAAGTATCTTCAAAATTGAAGGCGAAATAAGACACTTTGTCTTGACATTGTCTATCAAAACGAAAGAACTATCTCCGACCGAGCATGTCTGCGGCAAAACTGCACAACCATGCAACTCACTTTGCGACGTTGCAGATTTCCTGTCGTATTGTGATTTTCCGAAAGATGACTAACCGTGACACACTTAATCCCACCCCTTGGTCTTCTAAAGTAGTTTTAAGAGGGGAACTTTTTTTCTTACCAGATTTCTCACCAATTATGGGTCCTAAACGAGAATCCAAATTTGCCTTCCTATCTATTACCCCCAAAATCGGAAAACGGCAGGAAGTTGACTATTTTCTCACGGTCTTCGGCCGGTAACTTCGAAACCGTTGATATTCTGGGTATTTGTGTGGTACTCGCCCAAGAGGAGATTAAATTGCGGTTATTTTAAACCGAACCTGAAATATCTCCATTGAAAAATGTGCCCACATCAGGGCCTATCGTTCTTTATATTTCTCTTCCCAACGAGTTCGCTTTCGAACGAGTCTCGGGATGAAATTTTATGTAATTTAAATGTTTTCAGGGACTTGGTCTCTTTCTGATGAAATCATCGTCTATCTACACTGGAAAAAAATAAAACACATTGGATCTAGAGTCCAGACTCTTGAAAACATTGACAAGAAAAAATACTCTTGATTCAATCGGATTTTTGCTTGAATCAAAACGAAATCCGCTTAAATTAAGAGGCTTGGTTCTTGATTTAAGCTAGATCCTGATTGAATCAAGAGCACTTTTTCTTGTCGATGTTTTTACGAGTCTGGACTCTAGATCCAATGTGTTTTTTTTCCAGTGTAGATTCTAGAAAGTGTCTTTCTGAAAGACGGTTTTTGAAGGAACGTGCTTTTCTGTTTCAGCTGAAGGCGAGATCTGTGACGACATGGCGACCAAGCACGGAGCACGGCGGAGAACTCTCCGTTTTCTGTTGGTGAAATTGGAAAGAAGGATTTCGCCTGTGGGTGTGGAGTGCTCCAAGGTCCAAGGGACGCCTCTTTTGTGAATATGTTAATTTTTTGAGGGATGTTACTGTCAATCATTCGCTTCGTTTCTACCATTGACGATTAAGCGCCTCATGATCATTTGCCATCAACTTACCCATCCCTTTTGAAAGTGAGTCCGACTGATTGGTCTGACCCAGTTGGCATTGACTAGTTGCGTGGAATTGAAATTTGAAAAAACTGTTGTGGTGATTGGATTTGGAAGATGTTTCCATTCTTTCTCATGAAAACTGTATGCAGAATCTGCGTAATAATGAATTTGCATGAAACCTCTTCAAAAATTAACATCGATGAAGTTATAAAATACTCATTAAGTGTGCGGTAGTATTTCTAATTCTAGTAATTCAAGAGTTTTTCCAGCGTAAACTTTAAGAGGCTTGTAACTTTTTTTTTTAAAAAGTCAATGCGACTCGCTGCTAGGAACATATGAAGCAAGTTCTTTGATTCGGTCTGTGTGACGAGGTCAGTCTGGCTCACTCCAACCAGGGATAAGTTTCCACAAAATCAATTGGCTTCTCATCCAGTGCGGTACCAATGTTTGCCATTTATTGTACATACTATTAACGTACACTCCTACATAGCCTCCTCTTTTCTATTTGTAAATGTACTTTTTTAAGCCGTCAATTTTTAATCCTAGAGTAAGTACCACCTAGTCAAATTATATTTTTATTTACCTTTTTCCTCTCAAATCTCTCAGCCCTCCGTTCGGCTGGTTCGCATCGCTTCAAGCCATCAAAGAGTGATAAATGATGTGATTCTCGTGTATTTTTAACCTCATCCGAAAAAGTCTCATAGAAATTTTCAAGAAATTAGTGGAAAGAAGGAGTTTTCTGCGAAACAAAACCACCTGTAAAAATTTTACTTATTATGAGAGTAAATGAATGGGATTTCACTTTCCCGAATATGATGTTCTACTCAACGCACTGGGCACAGACACTCTGACCAAAACGCTCTATTTTCCTGCAAATATGGAAAGGGTACATGGTTATTTAATGGTATATAGCTTGCATAAAAATTCAAGTTGCTCTTTTTTCTCAGGTACCTAGGTATTCTTTTTTTAGGACTCCCAATATAGTGTTAAAGCTGACTGATATTTTCTTATGAGCCTCAAACAGTATGCTTATGATGGGGTAAGTCAGTGTGAAAGCGTCAGATGAAGTAAGACAACCATCAAATGCAGTTTTTATGTACTTTCCTTTCTTGTTCTTTTTTATTTAATTTTTTTCTTTAATATGCGAACAGTGTTTCAATTCATCCAAAAAATTGGAACATTTCTGGTTCTGATTTTGAACCAAGAATTGAAGAGGAAAAATGATGAGGCAAAAGAAGGAGGTCAACGCACTATGGCGGAAAGAAACAACTCATTTCTAAATATCAATTAACATAGGAAAACGCTGGTTATATCAGATGAAACTTTTTGTTTTTTAACACTATCGAAGCAACTTAAAACAGATTAGAGGAGAATCGAAAAAAAGTGTGGATTTTTCTGTTCCCAGTTAAATTTTCCTTTGTATCAGGTGCTGTCAAATTTATCGAGTAATGTTTTAGTGTTCTTTTAAATCATCATCAGCTATGATTCGCTTATCTCGATTTTTTCACTTATCTATTATGTTTTATTTTCTTTTTTATTTATAATTTTTTTTCTCAAATATATATTTGTTGACATTGATTCGGAGGTGTCTGAGGTTCGAATAGAAGTGCGTCCGTGGTAAAAGAATGAAGAATGATATGAAGAATGATACTCTTAACTAACAAGACTGATATTTCAAAAGTGTGCTGTCGCATGATGTTTGTAAAATTTTTCCCTGAAATCTTCGAATCAAAAAGTTAAGATTTGAAACTTGTTGAGATTCTAACTCCAGAAGTAAAGTGATTTCTCAACTTTGAAACGTTTTCTGAATACTGCATCTCTTCCTTCCAGATCAGTGTCGAATCTGAACTGGAAATTGAAGTTTTAAGGTTGTCCTTAATTTCGTTCTTTCATCTCCTCTGTTTTCTTAATTTCAATTTTTATAGTTACGAGCTCACACCCAGGTGTCTTTTGTTACTTAATTTTAGACGCCAACATGGGATAAAGAATAGGACATTGCCTTGAAAAGTTGTATATAAGTTATCTTACTTGTGTTGTTATATTGAACAGCATAATGTTATTATTAGAATAAAAGCTTTTGTAACATGCATGGAGAAACTTTCGAAATATGTAGTAAAACAAAGAGTTTTAAGCAGAGAAATGGACAATCTAATTATTTTTTTGAGGAAAGAAAGGGAGAAATTAAGGCATCCAACATGTAAGAGGATATTTTTGTTTAATTAATTATCCTCGTTAATCTAGTCAAATTTTCTTCGATAAATTCTTCCATAAATGATCATTGTCCAAAATCATTTTGATTCAACGACTTTCATTTTCTTCCTCTGATAAAAATGTATTATTTATTATAAAATTTCTAAATTTATTTGTATGTGTGTCATATGTACTTATTATAGTTGGTGTATTTTATACATAAGAAATTATTCTTACAAAGAAACGTTTTTTTTCTTTTCACTTTATTCTTCAATGGTCAAAAGTGTCTCTTTCGTTAAATTTATCAAGATATATTTATTTCAATGATTTTTGTAACTATGGATCTATTTATTTATTAATTTATTTATGCATTGTTTATTTCTTTACTAATTTATCTACTACTTTATTTATTTGTTCATTCTTTTTCTTTTAATTGACTGATTTAAGTTCTCTTGTTCTCTTTAATCTTTTACTTTTCATACTACCTACCTGTTCTTCAGAGTTCAGATTCGATCAGTTCATGATGAGTTATCCTCAGATGATCTAAGGTTAGGTCAATTCTTAACAACTGGAATTTCCACTCTTCTTTAAAGTAGGGCTCTGAGTTCATTGCTTCCAAGGAAAGTAACCTTTATTGATCATTGGAGATCTTAGTCGAATCAAAGCTTCTGTGTCTCATGCTCTCTCACCAAATGTTTTCCCATAAATTAATTCATGCCATGGCAATTTCATTGAGCAACTCCAAGAGTCCATGTTACTGAAATTTGAACATCTCTAGAATGAAGCAGAAAATCTGCTGTTTTGCTCTTTGCATTTAGTGTACTAAATAAACTATTGATTATGTAGAGCATCAACATTCTTTTGTTCAGCATTAACTTGACTCAAGTAGGTAGTTATTGTGTTTGATTTTATGAGCATTCTTAGTAAATTTTCAAATTAAAGGATACGGAACGTGTACGTATCTCACTTAGGAGTTGATTTAAGAATTCCATTCCATAGAAAATTTTGTCAAGGAACTGTGTAAGATATTCTGTGAGCTCAGACCTTGCTTTTCTGAAGACCATTTTGTTTGACATTACTTCGATGGTGAAGCTGAAAGCCATGTAAGCTATTGCAGCATATTTCACTTTTTCAATTGCATTTTATACTTTTTTTGAAGGAGAGCCGTTAATTTTGCCTGAGGAGGTGTTGAGTAATTCTTCATTCACCTTATGAATAATTTCCAAATTTTTCAAGAAAAAATGTCGATTGATGCCTTCATGTAACAAAATAAGGCTCGAATAAAGATTCAGAGACACTGCAATCTCGGTTTTGTTGGGTCCTCCCCCCCCCCCTTTCAGTTCACCATGAAAGTGCGCTTGCTTACAGTTTCATTTAAGTTTTCTAGAAATGAAATTAAAAAATCTATCCACATCAGTCTTTGGGGCGGATGAAGTGTCTATATAATTATTCTGGTGGTCAGAAGTTGAAATCATGTCGAAATAATGTCAAAAAAAGAAATATCCCAGTCAGGCAATGGATGGATTAGTTCAGAAAAAATCATTAAATGTGGTCAGTAAAATGTTTGAATCCACAGATGTATGTATCTGTAAGGATCAGGTATATTTTTCGAATTTTGTTTTCCTCTTTTGTCGTAGGGACTACATCTAATCCTTCTTTTTTCAGTCCTCTAAATGGTCTGAATCTCGGCTTTTTGGCCAATCAAAACTTTCTTTGAGGTGTTCTTAGATTGTCACACGTTTGAACATCTATGTGACCAAATGACAATGTGACAAATGATAACATTTTGGTTTTTAAAGTAAATGATGACAACATCAATTGGACAATTTAATTGGAAGGATTCTAACAGCATTTCACCTCGCCTAATATTCTCTCTTGTTTTCTTTTTTGAACATAGAACTTAACTACTTAATCCCTTCAAACTGATTGTGAATTTTCTCTAGATTAAGAGAAATATACTCACAAAATTTCTAGTTCAGGTGTTGCTTAGTTTTTTTGGTTTAAAAATAAAACATCAGAGAAAATTAGGCTAAGTCTAATGCAGTTGGACTGATTCCGTCCTACTAGAGTGATCATTTCAACCGTCACAATTATTCTTTAAAAAATAAGCGATTTCGAATCCTGTAGTCCTTGAGTCAAAAGTGTCAATTTAGTGACCTCAAAACCAACCCTGTTTCAATAGAATAAATCTTATTCAAGAGCAGCAAACAACTTTCCGCCATTGTTTTTTTGTGCTTTACTCATAAATTAAATGCCTTCTTCCTCTCGACAAATGTTTTGACATTTTTGAGGTTTGTCTAAGGGCTATACTGTGTCCAAGAAAATTAGTGATGTGATGGTCTCATATTGATACAAACTCTTCATTTGGGCACACATTCTCTATTTTGTGATACCTATTTGTACCTTGCTATTTGCTGAAACCTATTGTTACGTATTCCATCATTTCCATCTAGCTCGTATTATTTTTCATGTTGCCAGTTGTGTATAAGGAACAGTACATTCTCTTAATTTAAATTACTGATCGGCAATGAAACCTTCTCTAGGAATAATTGATGTGAAGTACCTGGTTTGACCAATGGAAAATTACCAAAATAAACGCTGAGATGTGTCAGGATCCTACTTGCATGTTGTTATTCCAAGTATTAGAACCCCCCCCCCCCTTCAAAAATCCAAGTGATTTATCATCTAATATCATAGCACAATTTCAATTAATGTGTGTCAAGAAATTTTATAATTGGATCTGTTGATTACATTTTGCCGCTTTAAGAGTCTTTAGAAACTTTGTGTCACAAGACCTTTCTTCATGTCATTTGACTACACTTCTTGTTTTCTCTGCAATGCACTTACAAAACAATCATTACATCATGAAACCGTCAATAGGTTTTTAAATCTTTTTACCTAAAATGTTACACCCAGTGCAAATAATGGGCTCAACCCCTTTCTCCCTTCTTTCCCCTCCGCCTGGGTATACAACTGCACTTCACATGGATTAAAAAGTAATCTGGAATATATTTAATAGGTATTTTCATGGTTTAATTGAGCGTTATAATTTTCCCCCTTCCTTTGAGTGCACTTCTGTTTCTTGCCGCAATAGGTAGTCCCCAACCCCCTCCCATTTCAAAGTTGGTCATAAATAACGAGCTGGACCAAATAAGAAGGAAGTGCACTAGAACCTCTGTGAATTTCAGCTACTGAAGGTCTACTTATGAGGGTACTTAAATACTTTGAGGTCTGTATTCTATTTTCGAACTCTGCAGTCAAGGTTTGTTTCGTAAGTGATCTGAATGAGTCTAATTATGTACTGGGACTCCAGTATTCCAGTTGTATAGGGCCGACTTGTATAAAAGTAAAACTATTTTCAATTTCGATTATTAAGCTGTCCACTTTATTTCCTTCATGCTCGTGTTTAAAAAAACAGTGTAAACCCTTAATGTTTTTGGTTTATTGTCCGAATGGTAGTAATCGTTGTTATTGAACTGTGTAAATTAAACACACTTAACTGAACTAATTTGATGTTTTGTTTATACTATTTTTTGTATAGGCTGAATGTGTCAGAAATACATGTTCTAACAGTACATTTCAAAGACTTTTTCTTTCTGCCAATTGGCAAGTTCCCAACATGGAAGTAGTGCAGTAGCTCTTAACCGGTGGTCTAGGAGCTCTTTTATGATAGTTTGTGAAGCCCTTTAAGAAAATTGTTTGTATTTTCCAATTTTTCATCCCAACAATATTTTATGTTCAAATGGAAAATACATCGTTTTTTTTTTAATTATTGCTATCGAACAGAGAAATGATTAATCATAACTAACCTTCAGTGAATGAATGAGGTGAAAATTTTATTTTCACCCTCAAAATTTAAATTTTTTTATTTTATTTTTTGTATATTTTTATACTTTTCTCAAATTTTACGAGTAGCAAAGAAAATAGAAAAGTAAGACAGAAAGTAGTAAAAGGTTGTCAGTTTTCATTGGTGATTTGCAGCTCCAGTCTCTACCCAGGCAGATGGTCTGCTGCCAAAAAAGATTGAGAATAGGTACTGTTCATTTAGTAACTATTTTAGACCACAGATATACTCCTATTTTAGAAATATTTATATGTAGTTGCTTACTTTGAATTCTCACAGACGTAATGTCCTGAAACCGAACTTGACTTCAATAAAAGTGCAAAATCAGAGAGAAAGAAACTATAAATGAGATAGATCAAAAGGACGGGCATACCAAAATGCTAGGGATGTTTGAGAAACTTTATTATTTTAGAAAAATTTTTACTCCCGAGTCATGCTCACCTTCTTATCTAAATCCTATTTTTCTCGAAGAATCTTCATATTTCCATACGATTCATTCCATATCTTTTTTTTTTTTTTTTTTTTTTTTTTTTTTTTTTAGTAAAGAGAGGACACCAAAATTTGGTTTGATTTGCCAAAGATATCTTAGTTTTTTTAGAAATAAAAGCTAAACTCGCTCTTGTTCAACGAATTTGGGATATCAAAAACTAGATCAAAGAAATGGCAAAGGCATCATTTCACTCAGACCTGAGAGTAGAGGGAGAGACGGAATTCTCCCCCCAAAAAAGGTTAATAGTCAATGAGTAATCTTGGTATATTCGGCAAACAGAGCTACGAAATGGAATAATTTTCCATTTCAACGATCCTACCCTTAATTATTTTTCGGATTTTTATAGACCATTCTCAATGAACAGAAAAGAGAAAAGTCCATAAGTATCTCTTTTGACTGGAGGTACCTACGTAACCACCCTTTCTCCCAGTCTCCTCTCGACGGATGCAAAAGCTCCGAGTTGTTCAGTCAAATCTGTTTGACATATCGAACACTGCGAGCCAACGCGAACAAAACAGTCACCTACTTTGCCGGACCCCGTATGAGCGTTCAAATATTTCCAATTATTATCTCATGAAATATTTATTCCCTTAAAGAATAATTATGGGCCTTTTATTCCTCCGACATTTTCAGTATCCACAATAGATCAAAGTGCGGAAGAAACGGAAGAGTTTAAAAGAAAATGTTCCCTAGTTCGCCCGAAAATTCGACTTTAACCAAAAAAAATTGGCAACGTCTGAGCGGAACGCACGGTGTTTCTACTTTCAAGCCTAATAACACAGAGCGGCGCGCGGCGCGGCATGCTGCCGACGCGAAACGCGCATTGGCGCCTACAAACCTACAGGGATACTTCAAGCATTGCGCTTGTTGGCACCAACGACTACTGCCAAACCACCCTAAAATACCGGTGAAACGTATCCGGTAAGATATCATACTAGCTGTTGCCTCAACCAGTTCGCCCGCTATAAAATTGCGTAAGCAAAGAGAATGGATTGAAAGCCGCAAAAGTTGCTCGCGTCAGTTGCTCCGTTCCTTCAATATAATGCTGAATGCATAGGTATGATTGAGGGGCTTGGAGGATAACGCGCGTAAGATGCGGAGTTCGAAAAAATCGAGGTATCAACGATTTCAAGAAAAACTAGTCTAATTGCTTGTTCAGTGAAAAATTCACACCCAAATTCCATTTTCTAAGCATCGAAAAGTCAATTTAAACTTGCTTTCCGTCCGCCATACGTATCGATGTGATTTCGAAACTTCAAACACGTATTTTGCGAAGAAGCAAAAACTGCACTAATGCGCCTTGTCCTCCAAGCCCCTCAATCAATCTTTTTCAAGCAGCTCATAACTTCAGATGAAATGGCATTAGCTACCTTATTTTTAAGCCACTCGTGGAGGCCCGCCAAAAAAAAAGGTACTTTAAGAATGTTATCAATTCCGAGATGATCCCTAAATTTTATCAAATAATTCACTGCATTATTCCCACTTCTGAGAATGATTGTACTCCTGGCCAAAGTTACAATTTCACGCATTCCAATCGAGTTCCTTTGACTCCTTCTCTGCCACGGGCTCAAAACTGATACACGTAAAACGGATCTTCGGTAAAAATACATGCACTTGAGTGATGGACATTTCAAATGATTGAAAACGACCGTGGCGCCGAACGCGCTTTGCTTAAACAGGTTCTCGGAAAGATGGAGGAACGTTAAAAATTGAAAATAATAGCGGGACAAATATGGAATGAAGGCAGGGAGGCGTTTTGAAAGGAGGAACACGTTGCCGGACCGCACGTGACAATTTTGTTCGCGCAGGCAATATGAAGGAGAAAATGTGGAATTTCGCTCTAACCTGGTTACTGTGACCGGGCCCGGAGCGGCCGGGAGACAGACGTGCCTTTTTCCGTCTAACGTTAACGTCTCGACGTTCGTGAGAGGGTATTTTCGGTCATGTTCCGCCATCGGCACGCATAACTTCTAAAATTTTGTCAAAAAGTCTTCACGCGAAAAAACGGAAGGCCTTTTCAACAGAGGTGTTCGTAAAGAAAAAGAAAAAAATCATCTTTCGTTAAAGAGAGAACCTTTGCAAAAGGCTGTTAGAACATAGCATTGTGAAACACGGCCCGGCTCTCAAGTAGCATTGATCGCGATAAGTCGCGATTTGATCGGAGAATGTATCGCAATTGTTTCGACGGATGAAAAATTGTGATTTCATCGCATTTTGCAATCAAATCGCGATTTTATCGACGGCGATCCATCGCAAATTATCGAACAATCATTCGTGATAAATTGAGATAAAATTTCGATTTTATAGAGCGCGATTCTATAGAGATGAATTACGGCAAGATTGCGGATAATCACTCAAATGTTGATGATCCTAGCGATTTCACCGCCGAAAAATTGCAAGGTAATCGCAGCAACTTAATTTTAAAATATCGCGATTTTTCCGTTGAAAAAAACTGCTGGGACGATGGGATTTCGAAATTGTCCCTATATGGCTGGCTATGTGTATAATTTCTTATTGCCTCTACAGCCAGGGTCTGAGAACAAAGAGATATCCTAAAGCAGAGCGCAAAAAGACTACTTATAATCCAATTTTTGCCAGGGAAGCGGAGAATACAAAATGTTTTTTTGTCAGTCCCTGGTAAAAATTTGCGATAGGATAGCTGCGTTTCAAAATACCATAGTAATTCTTATAGCCGACTGAAGAGGGCAATAGAAAATCATATAGCTGGCTGTAGAAAGTGGAAAAAATCACACGGCCGGGCTACACGAAGCGATAAAAAATTATACAGCCGGGCTATAGTTCCTATCGCCGGGCTTTACACTTTATCGCCTGGCTGTTGCTTTTTCGCCATCGGCTATAAAAGGCTATAAGAAATTGAGTAGAAATTCTTGTGCTTTGTAAATCCTTAAGTTTGTACGGAATCACCTTAATATTTACAAAACGCGCATTACATATATTTTCCTTTAATACATATTTTTTTTCATCAATTAAAATGAGAATAATCCATACAGGATGTGCAAACATTTCAAAGTCATGAGTTGAAAAACGCTGACTCCGCGAGATTAAATATTAGAGCCTAACACAAAGCGGAGCGGCGGCGCACCGGCGCCTACAAACCTAACAGGGATACTTCACGCATTGCGCAATGCGTGAAGTATCCCTGTTAGGTTTGCAGGCGCCAATGCGCGTTCAGCGCTGGCTGCCCGGCCGCCGCAGCGTACCGCGGCGCTTGAAGCAACTATTTCACACCAGAGGTATTGCACAGTATCATACGAAATTGAGGGCGCTCCAACATATTAGGAATGGCAGGCATCCTTCAAAAGTACGAAGCTTTCCTCGCAAATTAAATCAATATACTGCGGCCCAAAAAGAGAGCGGTAGTCCAAAAACTCACCAAGTCCTAGCATCCGTAATTAGTAACGTTTAGCATACACTTTATCGCCTGGCTGTTGCTTAATCGCCATCGGCTATAAAAGGCTAAAAGAAATTGTGTTGCCGGCTGTAAAAGCTATTGGAAATCTTACAGCCGGCTGTAGGTCTGTGGTATTTTGAAACACAGATTCCACTGCCAATTTTTACCAGGGGTGCATTTTACAATTCACAAAAACTGCTTGAAGCTCAGAATACCAATGGCAAATAAACGATGTTTAGAGTAAAATCCGTTTGCAAAGTTTAAAAATTTCCGATTATGTTTCATTTTTTCCCACTTACTCACCCATAAACCTAGTCAAATGGACACGAGTCTTCCTAAAAACATGTCGGGTACTCCTGTCGCGCAGGGATATTTGTCACGTACTAGCCGGCCGCGGGTGATACACTTGATACAGGGACGGTACATACGAGCTTTATTATTTGTTGGTCTACAAATAGATTGTGAGAAAAGAATCAGACATCAAATTGATAATAAAAAATCGAGTGTCGTCACGGCCGAATATTGAAGAGACGTATTCGGGCCTCTTTTTTAAACTTCTCTCCCGAATCTAAGCGACGCTTATCCATTAACAGCACAGAGCGGAGCATAGCGAGTTAACTCCTCACGCCATCGCGCCTTCAATTTTGCAGATGCATCACGGACATCCATCGAGTAGGAATAGTTGTATCTCTGCGCCGTCATCCATGCGCAACCTTTTCCTAGCTTTATTCCCATATTGTCTTTGTTTCTGCATGTCTTATTCGTGGTGCTGCTCCAAAGGGAACTAGCAGCACAGCCAAGGATAGGAAAGACTCAATCCGGCCTCGTTTT